CTAGCGGACTTTCTAAGGCTGCAAAGGGGTAGGCAAGGCTGCCTACAGCTTTTCACTTCCCATCTTCCCAGGTGAGCTACCCCGCTCCCCTCTTATAACACTCTCCCTCCCCGGAGTATCCCCACGCCAGCTCTGGAGCACAAGATCCTGTATCTCCAGCCCGTGCCCTTTCCAGTTCCAGTGCTTCCTCCTTTCCCGCCCAAACTACCACCCACCCCTCCTGGTCCATCAGTCATCCTCCAATCTTCTGACCTCACCAAACTCATTTTGTCCCCGGAGAATGGACACTGCTCTGGTGCCAGGTTAGTCATACCACCCTCTTGAAAAGGAAATCCTTTGAGTTTTTAAATTTTTATGGCCCTGTGGAACCCTACTCCTTTGGCTCCACCTCTCCCTTGTTTTCACATTCTCTGATCTCTGAAAAAGAAATCCTTCTTGGAGAAATAACTTCTTAGTCTGAGAAAGACAAAAATGGGGATTATGGGCCATGGGAGCCATACAAAAAAAACCCCTGAAATCCAGAAGTAAGGGGATGAAGGGAGTTGGGTAGAAGACCAAGAAGCACCAAGTTCAATAAGGGGTGCGATATTGCCAAAAGTCACAGAAGCAGATGGAACCCCAAACTGCCAGTACCCAGTAAATTTTAGAAACCAAGGCTTCTGTTTTGTGGGGAGAAGGGCCGGGACTTTAGCTCAGTGGCATAGCACCTGCCTGGTAAGCGTGAGGTCCTGAAGTTCAATCCCTGGTACCCCTCCCCCAAAGCCTGCCTGTTTTCTGGGGAGGGGAGAAAAGAAAACCTAACATTTTATGAACCATCTATTATGAACCAAGTAGTTTTAAACCTTACCTTACTGAAACCCTTCAACACTCCAAGAAGTAAGCCTTAGCATGTTTTATAGGTAAGACAACAGAGAGAACGCAAGCATGCAATTTACTTAAGGTATTTAAGTGGTGCCACTAGATTTCTTTTTTTCTTTTATTCTTTTTTTTTTTTGGTACCAGGGATGGAACTCAGGACCTTTTATTTGAGAGGCACACGGCGGCACCACTGAGCTAAATCCCCAGCCTGATGCTGGTAGATTTGAAATTAAATGAGGCTGACTCTGAAATCCATGCTCTCTTCAGGGTATCACAGAAGAGGAAAGGGAAAGGAGCTGTCAGCTGGTGGGAGCTGACCAGTAGGCCTTCTGATAAGAGAACAGACCAGGGCCAGGGATTTAGCTCAGTGGTGCCACCACCTATCTGCCTTTCAAGTGCAAGGTCCTGAGTTCAATCCCCCGTACCACACCCACACAAAAAAGAGAGAGAACAGACCAATAGTGCACAAACCATAGACCACACATCTCTGTAGAAGGAAGGTGGGAAGGAAGCAGATTTCTCACCAGTTGAATTTATTAGCCTATCCCTAAGCACAGGGGACACCTGAAAAAATTGAAGCTAAACAGGCAAGTTGTGGCCTGGTCTGGGGAAGGGTATAACTCTTCCTCGTCTCACTGCTTCTTCCTTCCCTAGCTCTCAAGGAATTCCCTGAACTTAGAATGAGGGAAGGGCAGTTACAGTTAATGGGAAATTTACAGGATTATAATTAACCACCCATAGAGATATTCTGGGCACTTTCAGGATGCTAGCCTGCTAAATATTTGTCAGCTGTTGCCTAAAGTTGCTTAGTAGACACCAGCACCTGGTAGCTGGAGGTCCACCGTTTGTGTGGAATCACTCCTGTTACTGCACTCACAATATTCAAGAGACCCACTGGAAGTCCCAGGATCTTAAGATAAAGAAGACCTAGGCATTTGTTCGTTTGTATCGGGGATTGAACTCAGGACCTTGCGCTTGCAAGGCAGACAGCAGAACCACTGAGCTAAACCCCCGGCCCAAGGCCTAGCTTTTTATATACCCTAATTTATCTCCAGGGCAGATGAACCTGTTTAAGAGCTGAACAAAACTCGAGATTTTACCAGGGACCCAAAAAAAAGCAAGAGGAGGGTTTTACAAAAGGCTAAGAGCCTCAGTGTTGTATGGGGAAGGTGTAGCATAAGCATATGAAGAAACACATTTCTAGAGGTTTCTGATTTTCAGTGGATCCCAGAAAATCTTTGCTGGTTCCATGTATGCTTGCTACATGACTGGCTTTCCATTTGATCCCCATTTGATCAGTATTACCTAGGTGACTGTACTTGTAATCTTATTGGTTGACCACTGTTTTGTCCCACCTCATACTCACCTTGTGATTTCCTATTGGATCAATATTACCCAAGCAACTATATTTACCATTTTATTAGTTGACTATAGTTTTGTGCCTCCTTGAATCCACCTCACTTTGTGGCTTTGCTCAATAATACACCCTTAAGAAGTGGGGTTGGCAGGTAACCCACTTTCTGGACCCCATTCCGTCTCTCTTAAACAGAAGTTATCTTCCTCTCAACAAATTCATCCTACTCTTAACCTCTGTTGTTCCTATACATTCTTCAATTTTAGAGAACATGGACTTGTCATTTCAAACATGTAGCAGGTTGGGAGTTATGTTTCCTTTATATTATTTGGAGGTCCATATATCACATGCTCTATATCACCAGTACTGAAGGAAAAACAGAAACAAAAACATAATTTCTCTCCAGGGCAGATATACCTGTTTAGGAGCTGAACAGAGTAGCCTGGAGCTCAAGGTCCAGGAGAGGTGGGGCAGCTCCACAGAGATAGACCCAAGAATTACAGAAAACACAATGGTCTGAGGAAAGAGTACTCACCATTCTACTGTGGTGAGGGTCCTGGCTGTCTGCTTGCCACTATGCAAGATAAAGGAATATAAGAATAAAGACCACCATTAACATTACCATAGAATCAACACATCCCAGACTACTACCCCTGAACTTCTCTACAATTCTTAATTCTCCTCCCTTACAGAGGACCCAGCCTCCCCACAAATCCCCATACCTGAGAGAGGCAAAGGGATCTACATAGGGAGAAAGCAACAAGTGATTCTGCAGAGCATGAAGTCAGCCACAAAGCTCTGGAATAGGAATGAATGTTATCCAAGCTTATTCAACAGAACTCAAGAGTCCCAATTATCAGACAGAAGAAGAAAGGTAGAAAACTAAATCCTGTAGATTGCATGAGACCAAAAGAAATGCCAGCTCTGGAGACAAGAGCTCCATATTTGGTCCTGGTGGGGGCATGACTGCACAGGACGGCTCTCCCAGTCTGAGTGAGGGAGTGGCACCCCCCTGACCTGTTACTGGGGGCAGAGTCCAGAGCAGAGGACAAGAGGGAGAGGACCACAACTTGTGATAAGAAAAATAACAGGGCTGGACAGGTCCTGCTAAGCATACTTGACACCAAGTGGGGAGGAGGTCATGGGGAGGAGGCCACACAACTGGGACAAATTCCAACCAGCCAGGCCGCAGAGTCAGAATCTGTCAAATGGATCCGAGTAACAAGAGATTTCAGGGTGAGGTCTCAGGGAGCCAGGCCCTGGTTTCACTAACACATTCCTTCATGCCTTCTGTGCTCACAGGGACAGTGTTGCAAAGCCTCGCAAGAGCTGAGGAGATAAAAGCCTTCTTCTGTGACCCTGCCCATGTCCCAGATTACAGTACCCTGCTTTCTCAGCCCACCTTCCCTCTTGGGGGAGCCCGCAAGCCGCAAGCCAGAATGAGGTGCTGCCTCACCGCCTACTGGCACGCAGCCTCTGGGAAACGGAGGGAAGCTAGGAGGAACAACGACCAGGCCCGGGAAGCCTAGGGTTTCCGGACCTAGGTAATCCGGTCCCGGAGGGACTGGCCAGGCTGGTTCGGAATTCCAGGTGCCCAGGCTCTAGGGGCGGAGCCTAAAGACCCGGAGGCGGAGCCCCAAATGACAGAAGGCGGGACTCTAGAAAGCCGGTGGGTGCCTGGGCGGTGCCAGGCAAGACGTGGTCGTTCGGTTCCTAGGCTAGCAGTGCACAGGGCACAGTGACTCACCCAGGCGGTGTCCGCCAGACCCTCCAAGGCAGCACTCTCACCACTTCCGTCTCCCGCAGAGGCTGAGGCCGTGCGGCACCAACCCCACCACGGTGCCCTTTTCCCAACCAATCGTATCTCTGGCCTGCGCCCGCCCTAGCCAATGACCACATTAAACCCCGCCTTGCCTCACCACCACGCAGCCACCGCCCTCACTCTCTATGTCGCTCATTGGCCCAAAGAGCAGACGCCCTCCCAGCCGTTAGCCTATCGAGTGTCCGAAGACGAGGCTATACTTGCAAAAAGGAGGCGCGGCGCCGGAGAGGAGACGCGACCAATGGGAAATCACAGCGCGTCCCTGCGGCAGCCAATAGAAGAGAAGTAAAAGGGGCCGCGCGGCAGCGGCTGCTACGGCTGCGGGGGGCCGGAAGTGGGGACAGCCTGTCGCCCACTGGTAGCGCAATTGAAGGCGGGGCATTGTAGGAACACGGGACTTGAAGCTACTTCCGGTGACGATCCTGCGGTAGGGGTGGTTTCTCAAATAAATCTCGGGTGACACCTCAGTTTATTCAGTTGGGCTTGGGTTTCGTTTCGGTCTTCCAACCTCAAAGCGAAAATGGGAGGAAAATCCGCAGGCTAGGAGAAGCAGGTGGAGTAGGACTGAAGCTTGGTCTGGATCTTCCACCGGTGGCGCTGGGGTTTGCCCTATTCTATTTTGACAGCTTCCTCTATCCTTTTCTGCCAGCCAACGACCCTGCCATTCTTCATGACCTGCATAGTAGCTAGTCTTGAGTAAAGATCTCTCCCCTGAGAGAAAGGAAACCTGGATCTGAGACTGCCACTAACTAGCTTCAGCCTTCTAGTCTGTAGAGAGGAAGGGAACAGGACTCTCTCCCAAGGACTTAGCTCTTTCCTCTGGAGACCCAGAGCAGGCAAAGAGGACGGAAGATGGCCGCCAGAGGTCGCCAGAGCCCCGAGACGTCACCCCAGCCAGACAGCAGAGAGAAGTTGATTCAGATTCTCAACGGATAGCCAGCCTCAGCTCCAGTGGGCCTGAACACTTTAATACCAGGCCCCTGGGCTGAAATGTCCTGGCGTATTTGTTTATGGAGCACTGGAACTGTTGTACAATTAGTAAGTTTCAGGAACACAAGAACGTTTCCTGTTTCATTATTTTAACCCCACGGGCGAGAACTAGCTGAAGCTTAATATTTGAGAACTCTCCCAGGACAATGACTGTGTTTTTATTCACTGCCAGCACTTATTGTAGTGCTGGGAGATTATAGGGCCTTCAGCAGTTTTGTTCAGTGCTATACAACAGGATTTCCACAGTCTACAGCTTAATTCTACATAGTCCTTTTCCCAGACCAGACAACACAGGAAATTAGGTTGCATGCATTTATCACCTTGTATTTTCCCCCAAGAGCTGATAACAAATTCAAAACTGCTACAAATTTGAAGATATTGTGAAAGGCCCAGGCTCTAAATAAGAGGCAGGATCGATATAGACATTAAGATGAACAGGCCAGGCTATAGGGGATGAACTCTTTCATCCTTTCTCCCTTCCCTACTAAAACCCAGTAACCAGCATCTCCCACCCCTTAGTATTTCATCCTAGGACGGTGGTCTCCAGGAGGTGGTAAGAATACAGACAGGGACACCAGAAACCACCTATAGATTAAACTTTATTTCCTCTGAGTCTCTGGGGAGTCAGCAGGGATGTAAGGCGAAGTGGCAGTAGCTGCAGGGGCCTGAGCAGACAGAGCTGGTGTAGCAAGGGGCTGGCATGGACAGGAAGAAGAGATTTAAATATCCAGGACCAAAAGCCAGTTAATGGGTCTCCTTCATCTGTCTTTGGATTTTGTGTAGCATCTCCTGCATCCGCCGCAGCTGGAATAGGCACATGCATCAAAATGGGGCCTTCTGGAGAATCCTATGGTATTGGGGGGAGTGTCCCCAAGCTCTAATCCCTTGAGTCGGTGTTGGTAGTTCTGAGATATGACAGAGATTGAGCAGAATCACCAACTGACATCCCAAATATGCTTCAGATCCAGGAATCTACTCCCCAACCAAGAGATACTGAGGTTTATGATCAGAGGACCACCCAGGCTATCAACCCTACCATACTGCTCTCACCTCCTCATCTTTCTCTCGGATTAGCTTCTCAGTTTCTGGATCTGTCCCAGGAGGGACAGCAGGAATGGGGAAGTCAGTACCACTCTCTCGCGTCAGTTTGCTGACAGGAAGGAGAAAGGAGGGTTGGTAAGGCTAGGGGGACCCCAGCACCAGCTTGGGCTGAGCCCAGACCCTACAGAAGAACAAAGGAAGAGTTTGGTCTCCCCCAAGGCTTCTGGTCATACTTGCGATTCCGTTCCTTCACCACCAGGCGGGTCATGCTCTGGATGCACTGTGCCCGGTAGTTCTCATAATGTGTCTCTCGTGTCACATCCTTAAGGTCCTGCATGTGGGTACGCACCAGCATTGTCCTCAGCTTCACAAAGTCGCAGTGCCCTGGGTTTTCCACTGCATAGCAAGGCCAGGGGTCAGCCAGGGGTGTGGGGAGGGAAGAGCCGCTAAGGGCAAGGAGATAATGTGGTCACAAAGTCAGTGTTTTACCTTCTACAATGCCCCAAGGGTAAAGTCGGCCCCGAACTCGCCGCCCTCTGGCCTCTACCACAGTGTTGCTGCCAATTACTGCAAATGGGATGCTTTCCTGAAAAAAGTAAGGGGTACCTATTAGCACCCCTTGTTCTCACCTGTTCCTTTCCACTTTTATCTTCATCTTCTCTGCTTCACTCTAGGAAGCCAGGGTCTGCTCCCACCCCAAAAGCCTGTTCTTATATGGAATTCTGCTCCCCTCTTCTGCCCAGAAGAAACAATACGGGAAGGGATGCCCTGGAGTGGCCCCACCTTTAGGGCTTGGTCCTGTAATTTGAAGTCCTCATCCTCATCAGAGTCACAATCTGGAAACTGATAGATCTTGATTCCAAAGTGCTCAATATCCTCCCGGATCTGGCAAACAGATGAGGAGCCCACAGTTCTGCAAACTCCATCCTTTCTAGAAGCCCACCTGCTCCCCTCCCCCACCAGCTTCCCTCACTTTGCGTTTCTTGAGGTCCACTTCAGGACGCGTCAGTGTGTCCGCCTTAGCCAAGACAGGCACGATGTTGACCCGCTGATGCAAGGCCTTCATGAATTCAACATCCAATGGCCGGAGCCTGGGGAACAGGAATCTGTGACCACTTGCTAGTGGCATCCCTACCCCTGGTGCTCTTGGCCTGTTCCCTTGTCAGCACCCGGTGGTGCCATGAGCCTCAGGCTGGGATCATACCCGTGGCCGAAGGGTGAGATGAAGTACAGGCAGCAGTGCACCCTGTTGTCTTGGATGTTCTTGCGGTTCAGCCCACTCTCATCTCGGAAATACTGCTCAAACTGCTGGTCGATGTATTCTGCCACAGGCTTCCAGCTGGGGTAGAAACAGACAGGCAGAGAAGCTATGGGAGTGGGGGCTGCCTAGTGAGCTCTGGGACTGCAGAGAAGGAGCCTGTGCCCTAAGCAGTATTTTCAAAACATTGTTATCACCTGGTTTGCTTTACTGCACCTTCAGGGAAACACCTGCCTGGTACAGGGATGTATATCATATGTTCTGATAGAAAACCAGAATGAGTACACAAGCAGAGTTCAATAAATACTATTTTGATGAGAAGAAAAAGGCCCAGATGACCCCCCAAAAATCCAAAGAATAGCAATTAGAGGCCAGGGAAGCCCTAAGTCAGGTCATAGGCTAGCTTCAAGACTTTGCTCATGTAGTTGCCTCCCTTTCCTCCACCTCTCCAAACCTAGTCTACCCTTGAAAGCACTATCCAAGAACTAGGTCTTCCATGAAAGCTCTTTCAACTACATCTCTACACACTACTGTCCCCCGCTCTTCACTACACAGCTGTATGTGAATACACACACACACACACAGTCCTCCACCACATAACGATATTTCCATCACCTTGGGATTCCACATACCAGTGGTCCCATAAGAGTATCTCAGAGCTGAAAATTGCCATCATAACACTACAGCACCAGTGCATGATGTTTATGGTGTTGCTGGTGTAAACAAACCTACTGTGCTGCAGTCATATAAAGGTGTAGCACGTATACATATGTACAGTACATAGTATCTGATGATGATAAATGATCATGTTACTGTTTTATGTATTTACTATATACTTTTATAATTAGTGTGTGACTTATAAAAAATTGTAGTTATGCCACAATAGCCTTATACATTTCATGCTTATAACATCTCCTTTTTATTTTTCTTATTAGTACACATTTATAATTCTTTTTGAGACAGGGTCTTGCTACATTGCCCAGGCTAGACTTGAACTCCTGGGCTCAAGTTATCCTCCCACTTCAGCTTTCTGTGCATGTGTAGCTGGGACTACAGGCACATGGAACTGTACTCAGTTACAGTGTCTCTTTATAAATGAAAAGGTTAAACTGAGAGCAGCTAAATGTTGTTTCAGATCATTTGCTCAGTAAAGTCTCTAGCAACCTGAGTTCCTGGCTTTCTGACTTAGCTTGGTAGGCCTGCCATGATGCATACACATGTTAAAAAACTGCTTCCCATCACTAGACTGTATTCCTCTCA